GTGTTGATGGCAGCAGCACAGCTGATATGTATATTTCATGTGCATATTATCTAAATATTATCTATTGTAAGAGTAAAAATACAAATCATCTTATTTACCTACTAAATTTAAGAGGAAATAGAATTTTTTTTTTTTCTACATTGTTTTAACGCTGCAGACAATCACACTGGAAAAATAATCTAAAAATATTTATTATTTTGTCATTTTAAATGTAGATTGTCTTGTTCTGTTGGCAAAATGTCTATTTTACCTCCTCAATTCAAGAACAAATGCAGTTTTTTAAAGAAAAAATGAAATCTCTAGAACTGGATTTTTTCCAGTGCAGCATTTGATTCCTCACTACTCTACGCTTCCTGTGGTCCATTTCCCGGATCGGGTTTATTAATTAACTTCCAGATATGGAGAGCAGCAGGTATGAGGGACCAGACAGCGTTTCCAGCAGATGAAGAGCAGAAACGTCTAATGGTGAAGAGTCAGCGCTCCCAACCTGCCCAGTAAAATATGCTGAACATCGCTGGGATCCAGCAGGATGGGAATTCTTCTAATCTATCACGTTGGCTGTGTTTGGTTTATCTGATGAGCTTTTTGATTCTGTTTGTGCTGAAACATTGACGCTATTCTGCTAAATATGCTGAGATTATGTCACATAAGGACGTGTCTCCACCTGGTGGACAGAAATATGTCACTGTCAGAGAAAGCTTCAATCTGTGGGATTATTTTCCTGCGAATGACACTGGATGGATCCCCATCAGCCTGAGTTCAGATCCTTCTGTTAGAAACTGATGTTGGAGAGAAGCTGCTTCTCAGACATTTCTGAGGCTGAACAGAGAGTGGATCTCCCAACCTGCCCCAGTGGCTCCTTTAGACCCTCTTCATCTTCAAAATCCTCACTGTAGTGTGGGGAGATGGCAGGGGCTGCAAGAACAGAGATCTGATGAAGAGACGGAGAGAGAAGCTCAACCAGGACCAGGATGCTCCTCTGGAGGCTCCTCCTACCTGCTGCTCCTGCTTCCCTCTGCTCCATTTCTTCTTTCTCCACTTTTCTAGAAGGAAACAATCTTCTTCAGTCGATAAAGTCTCAAAGCGGAGCTGGAACTTCACACCAACAGATGGTTCTCTAGTTTATGACACCAGTCCAGGTAGCATCCATTGACTGGCTTCCATCAGACTCCAGCTGTTTACAAACCTGAGGTCCATGGTGAAGGTAGAAAGGCTGGAGTCCATCTCTCTGTTCAGCTGAGAGTAATATACAGCTGATGAAGCTCCTGCCTCGATCTGGGCGAAGAACCGGGCCTTCTCCTCCTCCTCCTCCAGGGTGTCCAGACCCATCCTGCTCAACCTCCCAGCTGCTGCCAGCACGGATTCTGCACACAAACAACAACTGTTCAGTCTCTGAGGAAATGCAGAGTGGAGATGATGGAGGGAGGATCCTCAGAGGAAGGTCCTGCCTGCCAGAGGGAAGCTCCATGGTGGCTGGACCACAGGGGGAGGGACGAAGGAGGGAACAAAGGGACAGAGACAGAGACACCCTGTCAGTTTCTCAATCTGTGTACCTGTGCCTTCTAGTGAAACGTCATCAGCCTCAGCCCGAGTACGGTTCCAATTCACATGATTGAGAAGACTAAGAACAGAGAAAATCGCCAGCTGTTGTTCTGGCCCCTCCCTCTTTACCCAGCATGCATCAGAGCAGACTTGTCCGTTCTCCAGACTGACAGCTGTCCCAGCATGCACTGCAGCAGCAGCAGCTTCCAGGTTAGCGCTCACAGAGCTCAGAGTATTAAGTTAAAAGTTCTCTTTTCTGTTGCTGTTGTTCAATAAAAGTACGTTTTAAGATCATTTGAGGCGAGAAAATTATACTTTAAGCATCACTATATGGACCATTTACTGATAAAAAAAAAAAAGTTCAGGTGTTGAGAGAACCGTGGCAACCAGCGGAGCTCCGCGTCTAACTAAGGGCTAAAGTTAGCCCGTCTGCAGCAGCCAGGGCTAACGTTAGTCGATCCGCAGCAGCCGGGGCTAACGCTAGCCCGTCTGCAGCAGCCAGGGCTAACGTTAGTCGATCCGCAGCAGCCGGGGCTAACGCTAGCCCGTCCGCAGCAGCCAGGGCTAACGTTAGTCGATCCGCAGCAGCCGGGGCTAACGCTAGCCCGTCTGCAGCAGCCAGGGCTAACGTTAGTCCGTCTGCAGCAGCCAGGGCTGACGTTAGTCCATCCGCAGCAGCCAGGGCTAACGTTAGCCCGTCCGCAGCAGCCAGGGCTAACGTTAGCCCCGGCTGCTGCAGACGGACTAACGTTAGCCCTGGCTGCTGCAGACGGGCTAGCGTTAGCCCTGGCTGCTGCAGACGGGCTAGCGTTAGCCCCGGCTG